AAAATAAAGATTGTTTACAAAATATGACTAGTGACTAAAGTAGTTATGAAATCATAGTAACTTATATCAATTTTTAAACTACAATTATCGTGATACTACATACTCTGTAGTAGTAACCACTAGTCATATATGTTTAAATAAGTACCACAGATTATTTTAGTAATATTTTTGAAAAAAATCCCACTTATAACAATTAATAATGGGGTTATCAAGGAACTTAATTAACTAATGTACTTGTTTGGAAACACAAAATAATAATTGAAGGGCAACGGACAAAATTACATTGAATTCGGTCGATGGTGGCCGTCCAACACGACGCGCATATCCTTATATAGTGTTTTATTAGTTTATTGCTTTCCGGTGTGGGACAAATACTTCAACATGCCCCCTCAGCCCGCACCGGGCTGAATAATATCGGGGTGTATAAATGGGCCAAACAGACCCTTAACAAGTTACCTGTAATCATGAGTGTTAAACAAGCAGTCAAACCACAACCGGAATTGGCTCTGATACCATGTTAAGACCCGAATTTGAGTTTCAAGTTAATAACTCCACTGCAACAGACTATGACTCTTTTATCAGAAGATTCTTCAGTTTCCAATCACCTCTTGTCTTATGTTGGCTTTACTTGGCAAGGTATGTATATGTGCCTATTTTGCGCAGACAAGAGCGGGACACTATGGTTTGTTTTAGGGTTACATTTCGAGCAGGAGACCAGAACACAACAGAAGTTATTTTTGATGCATCTAATTTCTACGGTGTGGCTTTTAAACCCCGTTTACCCCAACAAGGCGATATTTACACTCTACAGAGAGGAATAACATTTGAAGGCTATGATCAACCTGAAAAACTCCCTTTTGGGGAGAATAACTCCAGAATGATAGTCACTAGATATGACCTGAAGTTAGGCCAGTTCAGTCTCCGCGGGGCTATAACGAGGCTGTCAATATTCCAGGGCACTTTTGTTTGAGACACCTCAAAGGTTGAGGTTGCTTCTTCAGTGCTAGTAGTCATACAAATGGTGTCTGAAGCTGTACGCTTCAACGCCATCCGCAAACACTTAACGCGGAACTACTTTAGCTTTACATTGCTGCCAGAAGATCTCGTTGATAGGCAAAATGATTGGAGTACAGTGTCTGGCAAGCTAATAAAACAACAAACAATGAAGCTCCACTGCTTGAACTGGGAGACCTGCCAAATCTAGAGATCTCAATGCTCTAATACTATGTTAAGATATGGAGTTCCATCTTAAAAGGTCAACCTGATAGAAGGAGTAGCCCATGTGTTAATATAGAACTTTGTTCATCCAAACTTTTTCGGTGTGGGACATTTAACATCCCTCCTCACGATCAGACACTTCGTCTGAATCATGTCGTCATTCATTTTTTCATCGGTTCATCATTGTCATATATAATTTTTATAAATATGTCGTCACTGTTTTCATAAATAAGATCTAGAGCTCCATCCTAAAAGGTCAACCTGATAGGAAGAGTAGCTCAAAGACTTACATTATAGTGTTTTATTATTTTATAGCTTTCAGGTGTGAGATAAATACTTCTAACACATGTAATATGCATGACGCACCAAAAGCAATGCATGGGTTCATTTATCGATCTATCTCATCTTCTGCCAGTCCAACCATTCTGCTGATGTTGTCCGCAATTTAAAAGAGTGAAACTTGATTTGAGTTTGGTATATTCCTTTCAAGCGTACTCAACTAAATTGAATTGTGTAAAATAGAATCAAACTCAAATGTAGTATGCTTTTTATTGGGTAATTATTCAATTATTTCATTTTAATTTGAAGTCGACTCGAAAACTGAAATTAATGTAGTATGATTTTTATTTGGTAATTATTTCATTCTTTCATTCCATTTCAAATTGAATCGAAAACCACTAAACCAAAATTGATATGTTAACCTCTATGTAATAATATCTATATACGGATATTTAGAAAAATATTACGTAATGTGTTGATTATACGTCTATAATCGTGATTGTATTTCGAACTTTTGAGAAGATCATCGCGGTTTGTGGTGAAACAATATAAAAGGGTATTAAATCTGTATTTATTATCTTAACAATATAAATATACAATATTGTTATACTTATGCATTTGATAAGATGTATTTTATCCTTTTGTTGATTTGTTCAAATTGATTTCTAGTACATATATGTACAAATACGCATCTCTTAGGATGTTTTTACTTCGAATGTAATTTGCTGGTCTGGTCTGGTCTGAACTGGTCTGGTCTGGACTGGTCTTGGCTGGTCTGGGACAAATTACAGTCCAAATAAAAACATCCTTATACTCCGTAAAAATATACTTCGTTGGGAATATGGTTTTATACGAATATACATGGTATGTTTTTACTTGGACGGTAATTTGTCCAAGACCAGATCAGATCAGGTCAGGCCAGACTTGCATAGTTATAAAAATACAAAGAATTCAGACCTGACCAACAAATTACAATCCAAAGTAAAAACATTCTAAATATTTTCAAACGGTGCTCTCATTTTGAATTGCTTGAATTTGGAGCACTTGTTTGTTAGTGACGCTAAGAAATCAAATTTATCATTCATTAAAATAAAAATTAAGTAATTCCAAGGGAACACGTCAAACAGTATTTGTGATTGTTTCTATTTTAAAAGAATTTTTAGAAAAATTACTTAATACTCCGTAGTAATATAATACCCGATAATGTTTTTGAAAAATGTAAAAAGTTAGTAGTATTTAACGAGAAAAAATGTTTTTTTTGTGTAATAAAAAAGTGAAAAATAGTTTAAAATACCATTCAATGTACTAACAACTTTTATTTCTTGATGGAGTACTATTGGAAAAAAAACCTAGTTGCGAGAATACATAGCCTCTTGTGGAGGAGCTAAGCCGCCGTTTCTAGCCTGGAGCCTCAATTGCACACCGATTGATTTTCTCCGCTCTCTCCAAATACGCTATGGGCGCCGGGGAAGTAATTTCTGAATTCAAACTTTATGATTTACTAATTTTTAATTCAAGCGGTCCTTATCCCTCTAGTTAAGGTTTTAGTTCTTCCGTCAATCTGATAGATTGAGCGGCTCTTCGATTTAGGATATTCCTCTGCGACGAGTTTTTTGGTCTGGACAAGAAACATATACAACAATAGTGAAAGGATGACATCATCGAGTGAAGGTCATGGGTGAAGCTTGGGTAAAAAACTGGAACGCATCTGGATTCAAGGTCATTTGTGATTGATGGTGAAAGTGGAGGCTTGACACAGATCATGACAAATAAGAGGCAGAGTGAAGAAGAAGCTACGGTACTGTTGGCCCGTCCCCCTCCTGAAACGCCGCCGAAATATATTTGGGAGTTGGGTTCAGGATACTGTCTCGGTCTAGTGCTTTGGAAGTTGGAGCAGAGATGTTATTTTGATGTTATTATTGTTATCTTTGAGACTGGGTACTTTGTTTTTTATCAGTTTGTCTTTTATCTGCATTGTAAGACTTTGAGCTCGTATTTGGATGACAGGAGGTCCGTGCTTTCCGTCTTTGGCTCAGTTATGCCCATAAATGGATCAACGAGTTATACTCTTCTTTTGAGGTGGTTAACTTTGAGTCTGGTTCGAGGGTGGGCGGTTGCATGCGGTCTCTTTGTCTTTTTAATTTAGCCCTTATCTGTATGCTGTGATATAAATTTAAGCCACCTTTCCTTAAAAAACACTTTTATTTCTTATGTACTAACTTAAATTGAGTAAAAATATCACTTAATAAAAATCATTAAATCAAAAGCCAAAAATTAAAGCGATTTTTATAAATCAAAAACTAACCCGCACGAGTAGCTCGGTTGGTTGAGTGGTGGGAAAGTTGGAAGAATATAATGACCAATGATCGTGTAGAGGTGACAACTCCTGCGTGTTGGGCTGGACTTCTGGTGCACACGAGTACAACGTCTATCATCATTGGACTGACTGAGTCACCGTAACTTTCAACCTTCTGAAAGAATATAAATCAAAAACTAAAAATACTTATTTTAGGATTTATGCCAACACTCCTTGAAAAAGAAATAGCTACATACAGTAACATCTAGGGGCAATCTATTCTCTAGATGTGATGTAGCTTTATTAAAAACAGGATAACAATTGGCAGAGTTAGGAGAATAGATTAGACTGGACTGGTACAAAGAATATTTTTGGGAAAAAAAATACATCAAATTTTAGGTTAAAAAAATACATAAAAAATACATTAAATATTTTTAGGTTAAAAAAATACATCAAAAATACATTAAATATACATACTACGGAGTATTTTTTAAATATGGAGAGAGTCGGACCTAGGTTGCTCGCCTAGCTATGCCCTGATAACACACCATCCCTCAGGGCCCTAGCAAGACCAGACAATTAATTAAGATGCTGTGACCCAAATACTACAAAAATTCTTCATTTTTACATAATAACTTCTTATCGCAATTGACCAGATTCGGAGTAAGTGACTAACACTTACTCGAGTTGACATTATTTACCAAAGAAGGGAAAACTGTCAAATAGGTCCTCGAACTTTCATAAAAAAGTCAATTAAGTCCTTCTATAGGAGACTCTGTCCGGTCGTCGCGATTTGGGGCGGTTTCTGGTGCAATTTTTTGATGAAATTTTTTGAGCACCTTATTCATCAAGTCTAGTTTATTCATACCAAATTTCAGCTAAAAATTTAATCGAGAGCGCATTCAAATTAATTCGAGAACGCAAAAATGAGCAGTTATCTTCAAGAATTAATTTGAATGTGTTTCCGATTGAAATTTTAGCTGAAATGTGGTATGAGTAAACTAGACTTGGTGAATAAGATGCTCAAAAAAATTCATCAAAAAATTCCACCGGGAATTGCCCCAAATCGCGACGGCCGGACACAACCTCCTATAGAAGGACTTAATTGACCTTTTTATGAAAATTCGAGGACCTATTTGAAAGTTTTCCCACGAAAGAAAAATAACTCCTATTTAAGGATTCGAGGCTTCGAGCATTCCCTCATCAAGGGCGGCAGCAATCTAATTGTTGAGCCTCAACACACATTGTTATGTTTCAACAATATTCTTCCACTTCTTCTTCTTCATCCGAACCAACCAATTACCATCTCAGGAGTTCCAGAGATGTGATGAGAGGATTCGCTTCTCAGCAGCCACCGGCTGCGACGGCGGCGGCCATTTTCCAGTCGCCGCCTTTCTCCGGACAGCTCATTAACCACCAATCACTTCCTCCTCTTCACTACTTCTCATCACCACCTCCATATAATCAGCAGCCGCCACTCCTCCCTCTTCCTGTTTTGGGCCCCCAGACCCGGACTCTTTCTTGCCCGCAGCCCACCACCAATAACTCCACCAAAAGGAAGCCCAAGAAAAAACACAACAAAAACCCACGACAAGAAAATGTCAAGGCTCAAGCCGCCGCCGTAGTACCGCCAAAACGCCGTCAGGTTCCGCCCGACGATGGCGACGGCGTTTCTGATCATTATCTCCGATACGACGTCGTATCTCCTCATCCGAGCAGTTTGCCTTTGCCCACATTCTCAATGAGGCCACCACCACCAGGATGCATAAGTTAAGGTTATTAGATGCTCCGGCCCGGCGGCGGCGGCGGTTTCCGTTCCGGTCGTGCATAATAATTTGTGGAATATAATATGTTTTGAATTTTCTGCATATTTTTAATGTGTTTGTAGTAAATCAAAGATGGAGTTGGGTGACTTCAAGTCGTATCAGCCGGCCAAAGCCACTGTACCGATATATTTTTTCATTTTGGGAGGATTGGCTGGTCGGTGCATTTGTTTTTTTCTGCAAATGGTCGGTGCATATATGTTGGAGTATTAATTAAATGATTGTTACATGAATTATACGTTGTCCGATAGTACTTTTTCTCAAGCACAATTTATGGATATGCTGTTTTTCTCAAAGGTCAAAAGAAAGAATACTTAGTCCACACTGATACAACTCGTATTTTATGGTGCTCTGTCGAAAAATAAAAAAACTCAATATTTCAATAGCAAGGTCGTTGTACTAGACTATATACTTCGTATATTATTGTGTAGTTAAGGATCTAACAAAATTCAATGAATCTTTTTCGTTTTATGTTTCATCTTGTTATAGCTTTTGATATTGTTCTCTTGTATATTTATGATCTCTTAATAATAAATTAGTTATTTATTATTCAAAAAAAGATTTTTCTGAGAATTCATTCTGATTATTGACGTGCACTTTGTCGTGAGTGCACTCAAAGTAAATTCAATACTAACACTTATACGTAGTATAGGTGAAGTAGAGTTCGTATCCACAGGGAAAGGAATAACTTTCTTTTTATATAAATAGTAGGTAAAAGGGGGGTTTTGATTGTAGATGTGATTAAATTAAACACGAAGATGAACGAGTTATGTGGTTTAATTCAAAGATAAAAGGGACTTGGCACTGCTACTTTCCACTTGTTGATATATTTTAGTCGATCATTGTTATATCTGTAACTTATCTCCTCTCGAATACTCAATCGAGGAGTATATCCAATTCATCGAGGATAGTTATTAACAACGACCGTTCATTAATAACCCTTACTATTAGCCAAGTATAGAACAAGCGCCGTATACTGACTTGATAGTAGCATTTAATCGCTTAACTCCTTGATGAAATCAATTGAGATCGATAACCTCAACACAAGCGGTTTCGGTTTAACCAACACAATTAATCCCTCTTAAGTCTATTAACCACGACCGTGCATTAATAGACCGAAGTTACTTACTTGTGAAACTATCAACGATTAACCATTGGTTCGTTGATCGTCTCTAGTAGTAATTAATATATGAAACAAAACTAGTTGATCCTTTAAGTAATGTTCAAAATATTAATATGAAATATGAATAGGAATTAATTGATACTCAAGGAAGAATATTAAAGAAGATGAATCCTACTATAGTTAATATTAAGATGTTAACTAATTGTCATCTTAGTAACACTCCCCAATATTAACATAGAGGAAGAAATGACTATTACTATAACTAATGTCAAGATGTTAACTAATTGTCATCTTAGCAACACTCCCCAACATTGATATAGAAATAGCATTTAAAGGAAGAATTAATATTCAAGGAAAAGAAGTTAAGAAAATAACTCACAACTTTGATAATCAACAAGCTTCAAGAACAATACCAAGAAATGGAAGTTTAGCTCCTCATTTGGAGACTAAACATGCTAAAAGAAATATAGAGAAATGCTATTCTAAACTGAGCTTAAGAGTATAAAGGAATTGGTATCTAAAAGTGAAGGAAAGGAGGTGTATTTATAGGCTTTTTGAGGTGCAGGATCGAGTACTCGATCGAGTATGTATACATACTCGATCGAGTATGTATAGAAATCAGAATTTGGTCAATACTCGATCAATACTCGAGTAGATTTTATGTGCATACCCGATCGAGTATATAAGCATACCCGATCGGGTATAGACACTCGAACGTGGGAAGATCTTCTCCTGCATGTTCCTTTGTTTTCGGATCCGATCCGATTTGAAATGTCAACCAGATACCCGATCGAGTATATGTATATACTCGATCGAGTATAGACCAAAGTCAGGATTTTTCCTTCTTTTGTCTTGTACTCTTGCACCTTCCTTCACCATTGATCATTTGATTGATCTTGGACCTGTTTAAGCTCAGAATAAACCTAATCTAAACAAATTACAAGAATTTAACAAACTAAACTATTACACCGAAAGTGTGTAATTTCCGAGATATTAAACAATCAAAACTAACTAAAAACGTGATTAAACATACGGAAATTACAAACGTATCAACTCCCCCACACTTAGTTCTTTACTCGTCCTCGAGTAAAGTCAAATGTTCAAACAGTTTAAGACCATTCCATGAGTTCAAGAAAGAAATGAACTAAGATCACCAAGAAATAAGAAATGATTTCACAAACAACATTCTCTCTTGGGTTTTATGATCTTCTATGTTCCATCTTCTTGACTCTTCTTCCTCTTCTTCTCTTTTTTTTTCTCTGTTTCTCCTCTTTCTCCCCAAAAGATCAAGTGAGTTCCTGCACACAGAAAAATATTTCTCTCATATCTCTCATTTTGCCTAGGAGCCTTTTCAGGTTTTCATCCTAGCATCTCTTTTCTTTTCATCTTTCACCACTCACTCATTTTATTTTGTAAGCCTTTGTTGCTTAGATTGCCCATTTTGTTGGGTTTTCAACCTAACTAGCATTTCTTTTCTTTTATTCTCTTTTTTTTTTTTTTTTTTTTTTTTGTGTAACTTATAGTACAAGAGAATAATGCTTAGTACAAGGTAGAAAAAACAGTAAATGGAACATACCAAAAGATGTAGTCCTCCCCCACACTTAGTTTCGCACTGTCCCTAGTGCCCGCCTTCTCCACCGTAGAAGCCGCCTCCAAATCCGCCTCCAAAGTTTCCGTCACCCATATGAGTATCCCCGCCGTCCCCGCCGTCATAACCTCCACCCCCGGAGCTTGATCCTCCAAAGTTGCCCCATTGAGTGGGGTCATACCAAGAGGGGGGTGGTGGTGGTTGAGCCATGGTGTGGAATTGGCCTTGATGAGCCATGTAAGAATACATAGGTCCATAGAACCTACGTTGATCTTCTTCATACCTTCGGTTGTCTTCGGCCCGTTGTTCCTCTAGTTTTTGGAATCCCGCTCTTTGTTCCTCCCGATATTTCCCAACTTCATTGGTGACTTTGTTGAACCCTTCAAGGAGTTGTTGGAAGTAATCGGGGGGTGGGAAAGTTTGGTTTTGTTCGGGTATGTAGGGAAGTGCATCCTCGGGTTCGTGTGGCTCGGGTTGAGGTTCTTGGTCGGGTTGATCTTCGGGGGGTTCTTGGGCTTGAGGCTCTTGGAAATGTGGTGGGAGGGCGTGAGGGAATAGGTAGTGAGGCTCCTCGAATTATTGGACAGGTTGTACATGTATGACCCAATTATACATGTTTTTTGGTTGATCTCCAATATAAACCGTATGGGAGAAAGATGTACATCCCGAGCGTCCTAGCCAACCCATATCCATCAAGCAATAGTCGGGTATAGGAGAGTTGTCCGTATACCCGAACTTACTTGCCAAGTGCATTATCACTCCCCCCACAACTATGGCCCCTTTTGCTAAGCTTTCTTTCTTCAAATGTGCCCACATGAGATTGCACAAATTAAAATCCACGTGACGACGGAATAACGCCACGGACATTAAACACACGTCCCCGATTCGAGTGTGATGGTTGTTGGGACGGCCAAGCAAGCAATTGGCTAAGAATTTCAAGAACAACCGGAGAACAGGGTGTTGGACATGACTAATGTACATTTGGGATGAACTAAATTGCACTTCCCCGGTCATCTTTGTCCATAGGGAGTGCCCAAAAATGGTGGTATCCGAGATAGCTCTCTCGTAGGGCACGGGGATGCCAAAATGTTCGGCAAACTCAAGTTTTGTAATCGAATAATTTTGATTGAATAAACGAAACTTGAGTTTATCATCCCTAAAATCATCCTCATCACTCTCAAATTGCACCGAGCTTATGAATTCATAGATAATTCTTGCATTTGAGTTGTATCTCATTTTGAAAATACGATCCATATTCAACTCATAAAAGAACCTTTTCATACTCTTATAGACTCCTAATTCTCGTAGAGCATCATGGCATAGAAAACGGGAAGGTTTTACTTGCCTTTTTGTTGTTGCTAGGAGTCTAGTTCGGTGTTCGGCGTCGGCGGGAATGATGTCTTCAAAGCCCGGGATGGGTGCTATGGTGATTGAGCTTTCTCCCCTATTCTTCCTTGGAGCCATTTTTTGAAGCTTTTGAGTTTGAGAACCAAAAATTCGAATTTTGGGGTAGGGTTTTTGGATTTTGTGGATGTTTGGGGAAAGTGGGATTTATGGGTATAGATATGGAGAGGGGATTGAGGGGAGTATTTTGGTGGTGAAATGGGATGATTTGGTGGAGAAATGAGGGAGTTTTGGTAGAGAGAAGGTGGAAAAATGGAGTTTTGGGGGAGAGGGGTTCGAAGTTGGGAGTGTTTTGGAGAAGATGAAGTGAAAAATGGGTGTTGTTTGGGTATTAATCGCAGGGGTACCCGATCGAGTATCCCTGTATACCCGATCGGGTACAGGAGACAGGGGCTGGGAAACTGGCTTTTCTGAGCATACTCGACCGAGTATTAACCTGTACTCGATCGAGTATTGGAGGCAGGGATGAAATAAAGTTCTTTTTCCCGTTATACTCGACCGAGTATGATCATGTACTCGATCGAGTACTGGAGACAGATTTTTCCTTCCTCTTATTTCAGTTCATACTCGACCGGGTATCAACATATACTCGATCGAGTATGACCCCAGACACTTCAAAACCTGCATTTTCTTCTTCTTCAAAATAAACATGTGATTAGTTCCCCCTCTCTCTTTTCTCTCAAATTCACACAAAAAGGAAATAAAATCTAACTAATTGACTTGGGTTGCCTCCCAAGAAGCGCCTTATTTAACGTCGTGGCATGACGTTTTATTTATTTTTGTTTTATGTGGGATCGTGAGCATCCCTTCCTTCATTTCTTTTCTTTAGCCTTTTCCAGTAAGGCCGACCTTTCTTCTTTGTTCCCGACTCAATTAAAGCATTTGGCGTTGGTGGTTCAAAAACATCTAAAGAACAAAGAGATTGATCTTTAATTTGTTTTTTCGTAGAGTCAAAGATATTGAACTCTACTTTTTGGTCATTGAACTCTAAAGTTAATGAACCACTAGACACGTCGATTTTTGTTTTTGCGGTTTTTAAGAAGGGTCTTCCCAAAAGGATGGGCGTTGTTTGGTCATCATTCCCCATTTCGAGGACGTAGAAATCAACGGGAAAAACCATATTCTCTACTTCTACTAGCACATCTTCTAATACACCCTTCGGGTAGGTACTGGAATGATCTGC